TAAGTAAGTAAGTAAGTAAATCTAATTACCTCCCCCCCCAAGAAAGACGTATCACTTGGCGAAGAAAGAAAGTTATAGAATAATCCAGAGACTATGACAGAATCTATGATTAAAAAATAAAGAAAAAAGACATAAAACATATTTATGTACATACACATTTATGGATATATGCACCCAAGTGTTTAACATACAGAAAATTCTTGCAGGATCCTCATCAAACTGAGAAAGAAAAGGAGACTGAGGGGAGGGGAAGAGTGGGCAATGAGTTTCTTTCCTTCTTTATCTATGTATCTTTGGGTGGGGGAGGTAATCAGATTTATTTATTTTTATTCTTTTTTTATTTTATTACTTTTTTAACAGTGGTACTGGGGAATGGAACCCAGGACCTCATGCATGCTAAGCACATGCTCTACCCCTGAGCTATACCCTCCCTTCCTATCTCTGTCTCTTTGACGACAAGAATGTTTTTATGCATTACTTGTGTAGTTTATACATTTTTTGCTCTCAAGTGACATAAGCAGAGAGAGGGAGAGGAAGGGGTCGAAAGGCACATAGGAAGTGCTTCCCCACGTGAGCACTGCGTGCTTGGGGGCCACCGCTGGCCGGGTGTATTTCTCTTGCCCCATGAGCTCTGCCCTTCGCTTATGCTAACGCTGTTCCCCTGGGGACCTGATAACGGAGCAACGGCAACGCCACAGCTAAGCAATGCTGCTGATGGTAAAAATGACCCCTGACCGGTCAACTACATCTGGTCGACAAGGAACACAAGGAAACCATTAGCATTCGAGTGTTATATCATACTCTGGGGCTCCCCAAATGCAGTGACTTGTAACAGTCACCTCTCCTCTGCCTGACCCAAACCTCACTGGGACACACTGGTGAAAAACTCCCACGAAGCCAGGTGTAAGTCACACAGGCATTCTAGATTTGCACCACATGGGCTCACTCTGTGTGGAAAAGTCCTTTCTTAATCCTAAACAGCCAATGCCATCTTTCATAATTGACACCTAAAATGGGGATAGGATAGCTCAGTGGTAGAGTGTGTGCTTAGCATGCATGAGGTCCTGGGTTCTATCCCCAGTACCTCCATTAAAATAAACAAGTAAATAAATAAATCTAATTACCTAGTCCCCTAAAAACCAAAACAGAGATATCTAAACTGCCTCATAAAATATCAGTGCTCCATTTTAATCATTTCTCATGTTAGATGTAATCAACAATATTTTGCATTCAACTAAACTGAGGCTTTTTTTTTTTGGTGAACAGCAAGGCATAACACTTATTCATTACATAACTGTAGGAAATTTATGGTTCAAATAAATTGTATCTATTAATTTCCTAAACCACTGTGGAAAGTCAAACCATTCATTTTATATAGTCGAACACAACATGGGACCATATAAAAACTAAAAGAAAAAAAAATCTTTTTTTTTCCAGAGGAGCTGGCTTCCAAGTTAACATCTTGAGGGAAAAAAAAAGATTCTTATGTAATTTAAAAATCAAAATCACTTCCTAAGAAAAACTAACCCTCAGTGTAAATCACGGTAGAAAAACATCACTCTTGACGGATACAGACAAGACAGAACCTGCTAAAACGTAAGTATGACCACACTCGAAATAGCAAAGAACTAGACGTGCAAACGGTACAAATGAGTGTGCCAGCGCAACATAACAAGGAAAAGCAAACCTGTGATTCAGCTTTTTTAAAATTATGGTGTCAGTAAGTGTCCAGTTAGAGAAAAGAGCTGTCTCAGCTGGTTACAGAACAGTATTAAACGGAATAAATTCACTATGGTCAGTGCAACACAGAACATTCCTTTTAGTGACATTCTATGCCACTAAACCTCTTGGGAGCACTCTTAAAAATGGAAGGTACAGCTCCAATCCCACTCACCTTCTATTTTAAAAATTCTAGGGGAGAGAGGGTCCATGAATCTACACATTTTAAAAGTGCTGATTCTGGAGAAGCCCAGAATACTAGGCTTCAAAGGGGCACTGACCACCCCCATCAGCTCAGGAGGAAGGGATCTCACACCTACATCCACCTGAGAGTCTGTTCCCCTTCTTGGAAATCTTTACTCTGAGTATCACTAAGCGTTACAGCTGATAACAAGGTGAAGGATGTTCATCTGTTTTCAAAGAATCCTGTAATGCCATGTATCAACTTCAGAATAGTTCTTCCCTCTGGATGGGAAGAAAGAAAATGGAAAAATGGAGAGGGGGGGGATGAGAAGTCTGACACAAGCATGGCAAAAAAACTTCATAGCTATTATTAAATCAGAGTGAAGTGTAATGTATCACAGTATTTCCCACACTTTTCCGTATCTTTAATATGCTTAACTTTTTTTTAAAGAAAAGGAAATATATGGCATTATTCCAAAACTCAAGATGGGGTGGGGGGAGGGTATATAGCTCAGTGGTGGAGTGCATGCTCAGCTTGCACAAGGTCCTAGGTTCAATCCCCAGTACCTCCATTAAAATAAACAAACAAACAAATGAATAAATAAATGTAATTACCCTCCTCAAAAAGCAAAAAATTAAAAAATTTAAAAAAAAAAAAAGCCCCCAGGCCGGTCCAAGAGCATCAGCACAAGCCATCACGACCTGGAGAAAGCTGCGGTCCGGCAACGCCCTTCGGTAACTTTCACCTTGGAAGGCTGATGGGATGCCCTTCGTGTTGGTTACAGGAAAACCAGCCGGACCTGCCTGCGCTCGCTGAGAGCAATGCTGGATTTCACTGTGAACAAGCAAGGATGTGATTTAAGCAAGGATGGGAGGGAAACCGCCCTGGCGGGCCCACGTACCTGTGTCACTCCCCGAGCCGGTGGCCAGCGCTGGCATGATGCAGGCTGCCGGCTGCGGCCGGGCTCTGCAGACACGCTCCGCTCAGACGCGGCCGGGGGGCCCCACGTC